GTGATATTTAGCAGACTTTTAGGTCGTAAACTATACGCTCAAAAAATTCACTTGAGCTTAATCACCCTGTATACCTTCTGCACCTGTTCGCCCCCCCAAAACACGAATTTCAGTGGAAAAAACCCGTTTAATCAAATATAAGCGCCTCTAAACCAACTCCCTTCTAATAGGGTGTTTTCATTGTATCAAAAATTCCTACAAACTGAACATTAATCTATGGTAATATGTATATATGAAAGATTAAATAAGTTTATACTGTCTATCTATTGCTATTTTGTTAAATATTTAATAAACAAATTCAGCTAAAATTCAAATTTTTCATGGATCTCTAAAACGCAATCCTATCGGTTGTGACGTCTCTGGTCATATAAATGGCGGATTGTTTACGTTCTGTGCATAGCGTTTAGTTGTGTGATTGTGTTTCATTAATTATTTTGTGGATTTAAATAATTTATAGTTTGTGTTAAACTGAAAAATTGCTTCAGAAGGATTCCTTAAAGCGTCAACAAACCATTTACCATGTGTACATATTTTTATGGTTACCGAATTTAAAAAAAACGACGCACGCTTTAATTCAGCCGAATTTAAGGGTGTCAAAGCAGCAGCTTAAGTAAAAATCCGTAAATTCATTATTAGTTACTCTCTCCTTAATATACGAATCTGTCTGTATTGGTTTGAATTAGGTAAATAATATATAGAATTTCACTTGCTCAACTTAACCTAACTTATACACATGGCTGCTTTAAAAGTAAAATGAACTAAATTTGTATTTTGGGCATCACGAGAACAATTGGGGATATCGCGATTGTGCACTGTCCAAGGTAGAATTTGCCCAGAACACAAAGTACGATTGAAGGCATATTATATCTGCCTCATTATTAGCTTTTTGTTGGTACTTTCATTAAAATGATCGTCGCAAGAAAAAACATTGCTTTTCATTTAGGAACATCACGGCTAGCTGCTTTCAACCATAGAACTTTACGTGCAAAATAATGAGGAACAGTTAAAAAGAGTTTGTTTGGAGCACTTATTGAGGCATCCTGGCACAAAACACCACTTATTTTGTGATCCATATATGTCACTATTTTCCATTGTGCAAGATAATAAAAACAATCAATAAAATAACGATAATCACAATAACTTAAATAATAAAACAAAGCTGCGAAAACAACAAAATAAACAGGAGACACTTTGTTGATATGACCTGCTACGTCACAATCGGGATAGGCAACCGACGATACGGATTCGGCGTTTTTGGCGGAAAATATCTGATTTGAATTTAAATTCGCTTTAAAATTATTATAGACTTTTTTGCAAAAAAATTATATCACTGCAGTGTTTGCCATAACTACTTTCTATATATCAAAACTAAAAAAAAGTGAACACCCTATTGCACCTTAATGCCTGACTCCACGTTTCGAATCATGCACTTTTCGTTTTTTTTGCTTCACTACATCAGGATTCATTGGATCTTGAATCACATTCAAACGCGAATTTTTGGGTTTTACTGGCTCAGCAAATTAACGTGGACGTGACAGGAAAACGGGCAGAAAAATAAATCTTTTTGGACACGGACTGTAGATGGTGCTAGCAAAAGAAGGAGCTGAAAATGAGCAAAACCCATGGCGAACCTTGCAAGTTCCTCTATCCCCTGAGCAAAATCTTCTGCCCCCTATTCAGTTTCATTTATTAGCCTCCATAGAGCGCAAGCAGAACATGAGGTGGACAATTCAAATTCCCAGCTCATTTTTCTTGCGCGCAGCAACAGCAGCCACTAGAGCTGCGCCCCTACCACTTCCATCTTCAGAGAGCATCAGCTGGAACTTGTACCCTGGAGCGATCAGCTCGTTCATTTTTTCCGTCATAATTCTCCTGGAAATCATCGGCGCTTTACCTACTTTTGGGTAACTTTAGCTGTCCAACCTGAAATGCGGGTGATTCTTGTATACTGAGCCATCGATCCCGACCACCACGTAGGGTTCCTGCATTTTTTCGATCAGGACGCACATGGAGGCGCCGATTAAATGGGCAGACCGTCTCGATACTGTTTGGCAGATGTAGCGAAAGTTCAGCATGTCTTCTTTGGAGGCGTTTTCTATGCCCAAACTGCCTAGGATCTCTTTGGTTGTCTCTTGCGTTTCCACTGGTTCTGACTCGACTTGCGACATCATTTCGCAGGAAAACGCGTTACTGAAAGCTGGCGCTTTATTTGTGGGAGTTTGCAGGAATGTTGCCTACCTGGTTTCCAGAGCGGTTGCAGCAGTGGTATCAAAGAGCAGCCCTTCTTTCACCAAGGCGAGAGCCCGCAGGCGCACCAGCTCCCCCAGATACATCCCCGATACGCACTTTTCGTGTATTTGCCCGCCAGGGTTGATGCTGTTCTCATCCACCATCCGGTCTTCCTCTGTCCTGATGAAATCCAGCGCCCCATCCTCTCCAAAGGCCCCCATCTCCAGATTAATAATAACCTTGCCAGTGCCCATATCGGGTTCGTTGAACAGTTCAGCGTTAGTTTGGGTTTCGTAATAGCATCCGTTACTGCCAGTCCCGATAATCAGACCAATGCGACAATTGGGATTCTTCCAGGCACAGGACATTAAGGTTCCGGTCGTATCGTTTAGCACTGCACACACATCGATTTCCACATCATTTCTGCGCTGGATGGCCTCGATGAGCCATTGAACCACGTCTTGGCCTACCACGTCCTCACAATTGAAGCCTTTGGTCCACCTGCGCAAGATCCCAGAGCAGAGCCCCACTTGGGTAACTGGAAAACTGAACGTGAAGCCCAGAGGGAGGTTCTCCGCCTGCACGCCATACTCTTGGGCGAACTCCGCCAGGCATGCCGCGATGTGGTCGAAGAGCGCAACTCCAGATCCAGTCATGACCTCATGAGGAACGGCGAAGACTTTCGACTGCATCTCGCACTTGTTTGCGTCCAGATCTACTAGCAAAGTCCTGAAGTTGGTCCCTCCCAAATCCAGTGCTAGGAACTTGCCCACTTCGGTGCCATCAGGCAGGTCTTGCACGTAGGTGGGGAAGCATTTGATCACCGCATCTTCATGCGTGGCCTTTTTTAGACCTCTTTCGATGTTTTCCCGGAAAAGTTGCATCTCTTTGCGGAGGGTCTCGTTCGTGAGGACCATGTCTTGCATGCGCTCTTTAACAGCGGCTGACACCAGAGGGTCCAGCAGGTCTTCGACTCTGATGGTGGCGATGGGATTGCAGATTTTACTGCGGCAAGCCATTTGCGATTGTGCACGTGAATTTGGAACGGCTGGACAGTCATTGATTGACAATTGGGGAGAGGTTGAAAAGAGAGTGTTCGAAAATGGCGATTTTTCAATTCTCTAATCGCTCGCTGTTGACAAGGGCGGATCCAAGGGGGGGGGTCATGGGGGCATTTTTTGAGAAAACAAGCATTTTTTGAGCAAGCATTTCTTGAGAAAACTGCCATTTCCTTATCAATGATTCACTTTCTAAAAAGGCCATTTATTTCTCTCTAGAATGACGTACAAATGAGCGTTCTTGCTCATTTTGCCTCCGAGAAATGAGCAAAAACGGGA